CATTCTGTCTCTCAGACATCTTATTGCTTGAGAGATTTATGGGGGGGGAGGGAGCTTTGACCCACCTGCAAAAGGGGAAGTGAACAGCATATCACACAAAGAATATGTGAGTGGGGCCAAGTATATCAGTGTATTGCACACTTATAGGTATGTATAGCCTTCTTCAGATGTTCGTTTATATATGAATGAACCTGCATGGGGCAAGTTCATAGCAGCAAGCTCCACCCCTAAGTTACGCACATTCATTACATTTATCTGTAGGGAGCTGCCACAGAAATCTGTTCTCTTCACTTTAAGACATATTCCATGTACAGTGGTACCTCGGGTTACGAACTTAATTCATTCCAGAGGTCCGTTCTTAACCCGAGGCGCGCTTTCGCTAATAGGGCCTCCCGCTGCCGCCTCACTGCCAGCACATGATTTCCGTTCTCATCCTGGGGCAAAGTTTGTAACCTGAGGTACTACAGTGGTGCCCCGCAAGACGAATGCCTCGTAAGATGAAAAACCCGCTAGATGAAAGGGTTTTCCGTTTTTGAGTTGCTTCGCAAGACGATTTTCCCTATGGGCTTGCTTCGCAAGACGAAAATGTCTTGCGAATCTTGCGATTCTTTTTCGCTCCCCCCCTTTTGCTAAGCCGCTAATAGCCTTTTAGCTGCTAAGCCGCTAAGCCTTTAATAGCCGCTAAACCGCTAATAGCGCTAATCCGCTAATAGGGTTGCTTCGCAAGACGAAAAAAACGCTAGACGAAGAGACTCACGGAATGGATTATTTTCGTCTTGCGAGGCACCACTGTACTTCCAAGTTAGCGGAGTTTGTAACCCGAAGTGTTTGTAACCCGAGGTACCACTGTACATAGCGAGCACCCATTTTTTGTATGTTCTGCAACCAGAAGTAATAATGATGGATTGCTTAATATTTCTGGTAATGAACTAATTGTTATTCCTAGAAATCCTAAGGAACCAGTCAGACAATTTTGCCCATCTAGCTCAGAACTGTCTACACTGACTGGCAGCAGCTGTCGGGCTTTCCCAGATGCTGCAGTTTCAACCTGGCATCTTCTGGAGGCAAAGTAAATTGCTAGGCCACTGAGCTATGGGGATTCTCAGAGCAAAAAATATAGCAAACTGTGGAAAAGTTCACCTAGGAAGTTCTCGCCTCACATCAAATACTCTGAGGAAAGCACATATTCCATTTGGATGTGTAAAGCAGTCTAATCTGCAGGCAAGGAGGTGAACATTATACACAATGCAGAGTGCCATTCTGTATTTAGAGCAGAAATGGATTATCTGAGCTTTCCTTGTAAAATAGGAAACTGCTAACTACGAGTTTTTGGATGCAATTTCACCTTACAAACAAAGGACCTGCTGTTCTTTGAACTTATGCCAATCTATTTTTGTGGGTTTTTTGTTTTACGAGGAAACCATGAAGATTAACTTTGCATCCATGCACTCCTAGAATCCCAACTTCAAAAGATGAGTGCGCAAAATCAACAGAAAATAGTCATACATCTGAGCGTGTTAGAAGAAGTGTTTTGGAAATAACAGTTCAAGAGTTCCCAGACTGAGCCTCTACACAGTTCCATGTTTACTTCAGACACCATGATATGTCGATATATCACAAAGTTAAGCTGGTGATATATCGCAATGTTAAAAACCAAAATATTGCCCAGCCCTACGGAGCACAGTAGGGATATACAAAATATTTATTTGCATCTTAAAGATTCTTTGCTTCCATCAAAACATTGGCCTGGTTCAAACAGTCCCTTAAAACCATAGCTATGAAAACTGGAAGTCAGCCATGGGTGTCAACACAGCAATTGGCGGTGGAGCAAAGCAGCTGTGATTATTACAGTGAGTGCCCACACGCCTAAAATTCACATATATTCATGATTCGGCTTAATGTTACATGTGAACTGAGCGGAATCCATGCTGCACAGGAAGATGTGGGGAGGGAACCACGTGATCACACAGCTCACTACAAGCACAGTTAAAACCATTGGCACTGCTACCATCGAAAATTAGGAAGCAATTTTAACAGAAGCACTAAATGTGTTCGAGACATCCATACCAGTGGATCACTGTTTAATGCTAGCATAGCATCTTTTCAGTACCAGCATACAAATAGGCATTGTAGCACGGCTATTACAGCAATCCCTCAGACCTATTTCAAATACAATGCAACAAGTAAACTCTCTGTCACAATTTCTAGTCCAGATTTTTTGTAATGATTCCTAACTAAATTTAGGACACACACACACATATACAGTGGTACCTCAGGTTAAGTACTTAATTCGTTCCAGAGGTCTGTTCTTAACCTGAAACTGTTCTTAACCTGAAGCACCACTTTAGCTAATGGGGCCTCCTGCTGCCGCTGCGCCGCTAGAGCACGATTTCTGTTCTCATCCTGAAGCACTATTTCTGGGTTAGCGGAGTCTGTAACCTGAAGCGTATGTAACCCAAGGTACCACTGTATATATATAGCCCAATGAAAATATGCTTCGAATTTTACAGTCATGCACTTCCGCTCCAGAAAGCAACTTGTATACATTTAGCAAATGGAAAAAGGCATCTGGCAAATAGAATTTCATATTTTAGCACCGAGTATTGTATCTCCACCTAGAGGTTACGCAGCACAAGTTTGCTTTCTACACCCTTGTAATACAAACAGTGTAAGCCAGTAATAAAACGAGGCTTTCCCAACTTAAAAACTCACAAGGTCAGGCACCCAGCCCATTTTAGTTAGTGGCTGGTTGACACAGCTTGTGGTTAGTCTGGAGAGCGCTAAACCACAGGCCCGGGTCAAATGAAACATTAAGTCAAGCCACACCTTAGCTTGGCACGGCAGCCAAAAGGACCAGGGAGGAACAAGGCAGATGTGAGCTCATCTTCAGAAGCATGTTCATTCACCCCAAAACAGGTTTTAGTTTCATGTGATGTACAAGCCAGGCTGCTAACACTGAAGTCCTGTGACACTTTAAGGACTGACAAATAATTACAGCGTAAGATTTTGGGCGCTCCAGCCCAGTTAATATTTGTTAGTCTTTACTGTGCCCACAACGCTCCTTGATTGTTTTTGCTACAAAAACCAGCATGGCTATGCCTCTGGCAAGGTTTTCACCGTAATGATTCATTTAACCTGTTGCAAACAAAGCCAAAATGGGGAATGCAGAGAATAATTGGGTGCACTCTTCCCACCTTAGATCAAATCTATGCTGCCAGGTGCCATAAGAAAGCGGCAGAGATAGCGCAGGATAGTACGCACCCCGGAAATGATCTCTTTCAGCTTCTGCCTTCTGGAAGAAGGTATAGGGTTATAAAGGCCAGGACTAGCCGCCTGAGAAACAGTTTCTACGCAAATGCAATTCTGGTTCTAAACGCAGCATAAGGGGTTTCTATTGTATAGTGTATTTTAAAATGGGGTTTCAGAGTTTTTAGGGGTTTTTGAATGTTTTATGTAGTTTTTATGTAGTTTTATGTAGTTTTTATGTAGTTTTATGTAGTTTTTCAATTTCATTGTTCTGCATGGGTCAATGACAATAAATATATCGTATCGTATAACTGAAGCATTTCAGTGTTTAGTAAACAGCACTACGTTGTTCTCCATCCTACAGCCTGCCAGATATAATTTTTACCTTTCCATCACCATCATTGCTCAAACATTTCTGTAAGCAGGCCTTGTGCTTAATTGCATCTTTTCACAATGCACAGGCAAATAATGCTAAAATAAAATCAACACAGAAATTGTTGATTTCTGCTGCATTTAGTAAACCTGGCTGCATACGCTGAAATTTATTTCATTCCGTTATTACGCTATATGAATGATACGAGACAAAGTATGCAGCCATGCTTTGGATGGCCTAATGTGCTACATATAATAATAATAATTTATTATTGTAACTTAAATGTTACATGTTATCTTTAAATACAAAATACTAAAGTATCCGTTTTGCCTGTCATGGGCCTTTGGTGCACAAAGTTTTGGAAAGGATCCACTGAAGGGGAGACCAAAATCTAGTAGCCAAACGCACATGAGGAAAGCTTAACCATTGCAAGGCAGCGCATCGTGAGCTAGAGAACACATGAACACGCCAATGCTCTCAGGATTTCTTTTGCCTCAGCCCTATCCCAAAGAGCCCAGGAAGGAGGTGGCGGCACGAACAGGTGGGACACCAGTTTTATTGTATGTATCCTGCCTAAACCTTCACCTATTGATACTTTGCCATTTGTGATGGCTAATGGACACGATCCAGAATTAAAGACAAGGCTAAATCCTGCTGAAATCAACTAAAAAATAGAAGCATTTCCATTTTATCATTGATTGTACCAGATGGATCTTTTTTTAAAAAAAACAACCCAGCCACCAGCCTATAACCACAGCTGTCTCACATGGGATCAGATCAGATTAGGTTAGAGAAGAATGTCTTTTAGCGTTAAATATGTTCACAACGTGCTCACCATGTATGTGCTGGTGTGAACTGAGGAGGAAGGGTAGGAAGAAGACAATGTTCCTATGGTAAGAAAATGATTGTCCATGCATTTACAATATTAAATAAAAAGCTTCCTGTTAATATTCATATAGCACTTTCCCCAAGCATTTGGTTCTTCAGATATAAGGCCTCATTTTTTAAAAAATCCCATATAATAAAACACGACTAGTATTATCCTTACCATACTGGTGGCAGAAGTGGCTTTTTACTCAGAAAATTAATGGCTGAACTCACATCGATCTAAGCACTGCCCCTTTACAACTATGAGCCAGTATAATATAACAGATACCAGTGAAACATATTATATTTGTAACTTTATATATTTCATACATCCATATGGACCCTTGCTACTTCCCTGCAGGATAGATACCACTTTTTCCAGTTTTTAGCAACCTAGTGGGGAAAAAATTACCGAAAAGAGAGAAACCCCCCCCCGACAACTTGTTAGAAACTGCATACAGAAAGATCCCTACTCAAAATTTTATTCAGGGGGAAAACACATTAAGTTCAATACCTCAGTCTGACCTTCATGGGCACTGGATTCATGAGTGACACGGATAGCCTGAAATAATAAAAAGGCAATTAGTTTATAGGCAAGATCTTACATTATACAGTGATTTATAATAATCCAAGTGCCAAACCCAGATTTTTAAATTCCCTCCCACTGTCTAAATAAAAATACCATTCTGAACTCTTTAACCAAATACCAGCAGCTTTTTTAATGAAATCATGTGCCTTCAGATCCCAAGTAGCATTTAGGGGAAGTGTAAGTTGATACTGAGGTTGTAATGAGGTCTAGATTGATGGTGGGAGAACCTCATTGCCCCCTCTCCATCCCAGGGTTGGGGGGGAAATTAAGATGGTCTGCCCGCAAGAGACTTATGAAAATGAAGGGATACTTGAATGCTACGGGGAATTTTCCAGTTGGCATGGCTGGTGCGGCCCTGACTTTACTGCAGAATAGTGAGACGGAGGAGCTCCAGGCTAGACAGCAGCTAGAGTACAGGTGTTGGTTTCCTAGCAAAACCAAGAAAACACAGGTTAAGAGCCCACAACTGTGCCTACTGGCTGTGATGCCAATGGTACGCCAACATCTATCCAAACCATCTTCATCAAACAAGGTTGTACAGGTGCCGGAAACCTTGTTTGCAAGCAGAAAGGGACTGGATCAGGGATCTCTCATTATCACATGGATGCTGCACAGGCACCTTATCTGTTACAGGACCAAATTTGAGCTGCTGGCATGCATTAATATATAAAGCCCTTAACAGCATCAAACCAAACCATTTGAAGGAGCATCTCTTCCCACATCTTCCAGCCTGGGCCTTGTGATCAGCCAGACTGGGTGGGAATGGGGTGCACTTTGAGAGGCTTTTGGCAAATGAAGTTGTGCCTCTGAACTCAGGCATATGTGTGAGCAGTCCAAGTGTAAATATTTGAATGCTTCTATGATGCTGCCTTTCGTTTTATTCCACTGATACTGTCTTTCAAGCAACAAAGGGCAGTGTATGTGTGTATATACACACACACACTTATACACACACACACACACACACACACACAGAGAGAGAGAATAAAATTCAGCCAAATGTATGTAGTTCTTAGGTAAAGGTAAAGGGACCCCTGACCATTAGGTCCAGATGCAGACGACTCTGGGGTTGCGGCGCTCATCTCGCTTTATTGGCCGAGGGAGCCGGCGTACAGCTTCCAGGTCATGTGGCCAGCATGACTAAGCCGCTTCTGGCAAACCAGAGCAGCGCCCGGAAACGCTGTTTATCTTTCCACTGGAGCGGTACCTATTTATCTACTTGCACTTTGACGTGCTTTCAAACTGCTAGGTTGGCAGGAGCAGGGACCGAGCAATGGGAGCTCACCCCGTCGCGGGGATTCGAACCACCGACCTTCTGATCAGCAAGCCCTAGGCTCTGTGGTTTAACCCACAGTGCCACCCACGTCCCATGTAGTTCTTAAGACTTCCCTAATAAAAATGAACCCAAAACCCTGCATTGACTGCCCCACCCAAAGCCTGTGCAATCTGGCTTGACATACATAGGCCTAAAAGCAAAATACTCCCGTTTCCCAAATTTATATTAAGGAATGATACTGACTTCGTAAGTTTCTAGATATTTGGCCCTCTCTTCAGGACTCATGGGCATAGAGTCATCTAGGAACTTCTTTAGTGAGGAGTCAGTTTCTAGAACAAATAAAAGAACACGAATTTAAAAATATGTTAAAAAATGTTAAAATATGTTACTTTGAACTCTGTGACAAAAAGCATTGCTGAACTTATCACATCTTATTTATTTCACATGAAGTGACAACACAAATAATTACAGTACCTGTTAAGAACTGAGGACAACATTAACCTTAAAAATCCATGCTGAATTTGCTATGTATTTTGCTATGTATTGCTATTCATATTGTGGCAATTGTTTTCCAAGAGCATTTAGCCAACTTTCTAAGTTTTCTGCAGTTCAGTATAAGCAATAAGCAGTTCAGGAGCGCCCCCTACCCTCCAAACCATTAAGAGGCACCACAGTAGAAATGAAGTATTTACCAAAGTTAATTTTATCCCTGTTGTTTGCAATAGCGTGAATAAGCCCAATAGTTCCACAGGCGTTGCTGATTGTTTGCCTCATGAAATACACTGATGGTTTTACTTCTTGTCCCTCAGCTTTTATTTTTGCTTCCTCTTCCGTTCGGAATGTTTCATACTAGAAGGCAAGAATAAAAAACACGTAGCAATTTGATTTTTTCCAATTCTGTTTTTTAAAAGAATAATTCTATATCATAAGCAGTCCTTGCTAAACAGAAGCAATACAACCTAAAAATAAAGTTTGTTCTTGTTTTGAGATACTGCCACTAGTAATCTGGAGACCTTTCTAAACATTACAGATTGTCTAACTCAGTGTTTCCCAAACGTTTTTGGGCAACGGCACACCTGTTTACTGAAAAAAAATCTCGCGGCACACCACCATTAAATCCCCGCCCCGTATCGTCAGCGCGCAGCGTCACGCCAGGAGGGACGCACGAAAGTGAAAGTTTTTTCCCTCCCCCTTGCTGGGGAACCTCCAAGCTTTGGGGGTGGGAGGAGGCAGCAGAGCGAGGGACTGAGGGACGGCGGCAACTGAGGCGGCGGCGGCTGAGGCAGAGCTGGGAAGGGGGTTTCCAGGGGACACGGCAGCTCCTCGAAAGGCTTCTCTCAGCTGCGCTCAATCCGCCTCGGAGAGGATTTCCCCTCCGGTCCCATGCGTTCGTTTGGGGCATCGCTCCGGCTGCTCCCTCTCCCGCCGCGCAGGAGCGATGCCTCTCTCTGGCTCTCCCTCCGCGCAGGCTGAGGGAGGGAGGGAGGGGCGCGTGTGACCCGTCTCTGCTGGGAGACCAAACCCAGCGAGGCAGAGTCGCGCGGAGGCGCCCAGGCAGCGCTGCCGGCTGCGAGGAGGAGCGCCAGGCAGCAGCAGGAGGCGCGGCCTCTCCTCGCCGCCGCCGCCCCGCCTCTCGCCGCCCGACTCGCCCGCCTCCCTCCAGGCATCTCGCGGCACACGAGGCAACGTCTCACGGCACACTCGTGTGCCGCGGAACACCGGTTGGGAAACACTGGTCTAACTGACTGTTTTACTCTCAGTACACATGCATCAATTTATGCTCTTAGCATGGCTAGTTCACCATCTTCACCATGGCAAATTCACCATCTTCTTTTACAAAGAGCACATCACAAGCTAAAGGTAACTACTGTCAACTGAAGCAAACTAAACCTTGCTAGTTTTCACATCTGCTAGCTTATGCTTAAAGTCTATACACCATTATACCAAGTTCTTTCATTGGTTGAATGAAAAAAGCACATGACAGCTAGTTGTGTCTATTATATAGCACATTCTGTTATAAATCTACCTGCAATCTCTTCAGTTGACAAATGTTTTAACCTTTGCTCCCAACCAAGCTAACTCAAGGAATATAAATCATTAGAATATCCTAAAACAAACAACAAACCTATTGTACAGGTGTTTAACATTTCCAAACATATTTAAACCTTTCCCGGATTTCAGCAACAGAGATACACTACAGCTTGGACTGCTGCAAAGGCCTGGCTCATGCTGAAACAAACCTTTGGCTAACCTGGTCACAAAAACCAGGAAAAAGTAGTATTTCAAGTGTGATCCCAGCCACGTCTCCTCAGAGGAAAGCCCTGCTGAATTAAATGCGTCTTGGTCCACGGTAAATAGGTTAGGACTGTAAACATACTTTGTTGTTAAATAAATATACACACTGAGCAACAAGCATGACCTTAGAAGAGATATTTGCCTACAGTGGTGCCTCGCAAGACGAAATTAATTCGTTCCGCGAGTTTTTTCGCCTTGCGATTTTTTCGCCTTGCGAAGCACGGTTTCGGGGAAGTTTTGGAAAAGCTTCAAAAATCAGCAAAGTCTTCAAAAACCTCAAAAAAGGCTACCACACCACGTGCTATGAGTTGCTCCTCGAAGTCAAGTCGCAACTGTATTAATGGTTTTAAGAAAAAGGAAACAAACTTGCAAGACGTTTCTGTCTTGCGAAGCAAGCCCATAGGGAAATTCGTCTTGCGAAGCAACTCAAAAAACCAAAAACCCTTTCGTCTTGCGAGTTTTCCGTCTTGCGAGGCATTCGTCTTGCGAGGTACTGTATTCTAAGAATGCCTGCTTCCTGCCACTTTAAAAAGTAAAGATCCTGTTCTCAATTAGTAGAGAACTAGAAGTTCTGAACATTTTTAAATTTAAACAATTAAGCAACTCAACACTGCAATTGTTAATAGGAGGCCCAACAGGTTAGCACAGGTTTTGGCCTGAACTGCTTGCTATATGAACAGTGTCTACACTGGTGGCCAACAAAATTAAATATCCAGGTTTTTCTCCCCTGAAGAATTACGTTTTCCAAAGAGGCTGTGGTTGAGAAAAACAAAGTTTAAAGTACAGTAGAACCTTGGTTTTTGAATTTAGTCCATTCCGGAAGTCCGTTCGACTTCCGAAACATTCAAAAACTGAGGATCAAAGGGCTGTCAGCAAGTTGAATGGGAGAAATTGAGAAATGCGCCTCGGAAGCCGTTCAACTTCTGAGGCATATTTGAAAACGGAATTTTTCGACACCGTGCTTCGCAAGACGAAAAAAATCGCAAGACGACAAAACTCGCGGAACAAATTAATTTTGTCTTGCGAGGCACCACTGTACTTAACCCGAGGTACCACTGTATACAGCAACTGCATCAAGTTATCTGTTGGATTATAAAGTAAAAAAATCTACTGACAGCTGGAGGAATTGGAGTAGACCCTTTAAACTGGCAGAGCTGAAAAAGGATGGGGGAAAGAAAGGAAATAAAGGAAGCCAGCAGGGAACTCCTAGCACATCTGGGGATACCCCAGAAAGTGGGAAAGAGCCTGGAACAGCTTCCGAACTAATTTCTACACCCCAAGTGACTGAAAGAGCCTGCCAAGAAGGACCTGTTGAGTCAATCTCCAGCACTTTAGTGAATTAAATACAGTGGTGCCTCGCAAGACGAAATTAATTCGTTCTGCGAGTTTTGTCGTCTTACGATTTTTTTCGTCTTGCGAAGCACGGTGTCGGGAAAGTTTTGGAAAAGCTTCAAAAATCACCAAAGTCTTCAAAAACCTCAAAAAAGGCTACCACACTGCGTTCTATGAGTTGCTCCTCGAAGTCAAGTCGCAACTGTATTAACGGTGTTAAGAAAAAGGAAACAAACTTGCAAGACGTTTCCGTCTTGCGAAGCAAGCCCATAGGGAAAATCGTCTTGCGAAGCAGCTCAAAAAACAAAAAACCCTTTCGTCTAGCGAGTTTTTTGTCTTGCGAGGCATTCGTCTTGCGAGGTACCACTGTAATAAGACAACTTGCCATGGAATTACAAACAGGAAATAATATGGAGACATAAACTTTGGAACTATTGTAAGCCAATACAGTTTGAGACAATTACAAGCAGATAAGTACAAATTAAAGAACATTTTAGTTTCTTAAAGACACCAATTTAGAGCTAAACTGATTTAATTTTTCCTTTCGTCTGTATTCTGGATTTTTAAATTATTTTTTTACTTTCTTCTGTCTTTTTTATTTGATACCCTTTTAATTGTATATTTTATGTCCCCTGTTATATTTCAAGTTTTTATTTCTTCTTTTCCTTTGGTTTGTGCCTTCCTTTTGTTATATGATTGTAAGCTTTGTTGTTGTCTGGAGGGAGGAGGCAGATAAGAGGGAAAGTGAAACTGTAAGGAAGTTGGGAGGGGGGAAAGTCTCACGGTTGGAGGGAACTGGGCTAGCAGGTGTGACCTTGGACATCTCAAATAACACTGGGAACCGACTGATAAGACATGGTGTGCAAGGAGGGTACAGTAACAACTAGGAGGGGAGCAGCTGCAGCTGCGGCAGCCAGCAGAAGGGCTAGTGGACAAGCAGAGATTGGGAGAAAGGGGAGAAAGAGCAGACAGACCTTCTGGTTCTGCAACTTTCTGAACTCAGGAAAGAAATGGTTCAATCAATGCAGGAATTTACTCGATCCAGTTGTGGCAGTAGCAGCAGTTTGAGTAAATTCCTGCATCGATTGAGCCATTTCTTTCCTGAATTCAGAAAGTTGCAGAGCCACACTGCTGCTCGTATTTTATTAGCTAAAAAGTGGGAAACCCAAAAATTACCAACGATAGAAGACTGGCAGATGAAGATGATGGATTTTTCGGAGCTAGCCGACCTAACCGGAAGAGTCCGTGACCAGACGGAGGAGGAGTATCAGGAAGAGTGGATTAAATTTAATGATTATTTAGTTAAATATGTTAAGTTAAATTAACTGAAAACAGCTTGCAGATACTTAATTGTCTTAGGATTTTATTTATGTTAAGTGATGAATTAATATGTTTAATTTCGTAAGGTGAAGATTTAAGGATGTTAATGTTTAAGTTAAATTTTATAAGAATTATGATTTGGGAAACCGTTAAAAGGATATGCAATGAAATTCAACCAAGGGGAAGCAGGGAAGTCATTTAACAAAGTTAATAAGTGTAAATTTCAATAAGGCTATGATTTATGTTTGTTTGTCTTATGTGTTTGTTTGTTTATAATATTGTGAAAACCAATAAAAAAAATTTTGGGGAAAAGGGAATTTACTCGATCCAATCAAACACTGATTGAACAAGTATGCAAGCATACTGAAAACTCAAACAGAGTTTTGAAAGAGCAATTTGGGATGTTGGGAGACAAAGCTTATAAATTAGAAACCAAGGTGGACAAACTGGAAGAAGTTAGAGACGAGGTAGGAGAACTAAGAGAAGAAGGGAATTTTGGAAGGGGTTCAAGGGAAACAGGAAGAACTGGAGGACCAGATCCTCCTTCTGTCATTAAAGGATCACCACACGAAGCTTTGCTGCTCAAACCACTTGGAAAGAAAGGAAAGTGGCTTACATATATTGATCTGTTAAAGGATCAAGATGGGAAATGGAAATTAAGAGACTACGAAGAAATAAAAGACCATTTTCAAAGTTGGTTACATTATCGACAATTATATGAAACATACAAAGAAGACAACAAGAAAGGCTTTAGTTATACAACATCTAGATTTCAAGAAGAAGTGGTAGAAGGGAAAGTAAAACTGTTGAAAGGTGCATACAGTATCTCGTTACAATGGGAGACCAAAGACACGGAGGTGAAAGCAGTTATGATTAAATGGGGCGCACGACATAGGCCACAATATTATGTTGGAAGACTGGGAAAGGTTATGGAAAATTGACCTAAAATTTACAGATTGTTCTTTACTGAAAGAAAACTACATGAAAATGATGTATAGATGGTACATACCACCAGTACAATTAGGGAAAATGTATAAAACGGGCTCAAACCTATGTTGGAAAAACATAGGTTTTTCCAACATAGCAAGGAAAAAGAAGGGACTTTTTATCATAAGTTAAAATGTTCTGGGAAATGATATATAATGAGTTAAAGAAAATGTTTCATTTAAAAGTTGTGGAAAAAGCTGTAGCTTTTTATTAGGGATTGTGGGGAAAGACCTGCCAAAGAAATTTAAAAATATTTTTATGTATGTGACAACGGCAGCAAGAGTCTTAATAGCACAAGGATGGAAGAATGAAGAAATCCCGACAAAAGAACTGTGGCAAGAAAAACTGATGGACTATGTGGAATTGGCAAAGCTGACATACAAACTACGTGACAAGGCTAACTGACTTTAAAGATGAATGGGAACCTTTTATAAAATATTTGAAGAAACAACAAAATGAATTGAACTCTCCTTGGCAGGTTTTGAATAAACATTCACAAAATCTTTATTGGTAATATATAGATAGACAAACTCAGGATCTTTACAATTTGACAACATGCAAATAAAAATATGTGTTGAGAAACCAGAGAAAGGAGTTGAGGGAAGTCGGGGGGTTTTCTGTCTAGGGGGAGGAGGGAAACGGGGGGGAATAATATGGATGATGTATCTTTGTTAAAATCATTACGTTGAAAATCTTAATTAAAAATATTTTTAAAAAAATGAAAAGAAGCTAGAGTCTCTTCACCCAAACAAGGTTCATGAAGAAAGAAGAGAAAAATGGGAGTGAGTGTGTATGAAACATAGCTTTGTTCTAGTCTGATAAACCACGGTTCGTCAGACCAAGATCTGAACCTACCAAAGCCTGCTTTCCTTAGGTCATTTGTAAGACACCAAAGTTAAAGTACTTCATCGGGAAGATAACTGTGTTGAAGATAAATAAGAATTACCTTTTCTGTTACTGGAAAGAGGAGTAGGATGGCACAAACAGGTCTTGGCACCATGCTAAGGAGTTCTGGTTCCATGCCGTAAACATCCACAAATTGCCAGCTGGGATGAATCCCCAGCTGTTTGAGAAACTAGTAAAAGAGAGATACACATTAAGCATTTATCAATAAGTATATCCATCACACAGTGTACTGTAAAAAAAATTCTTTCCAAAAGAAAGGTCATATTTTGCATCTTTCAGTATGGTTCAACATAGACAGCACAACTGACAGAGGATGGTAGTAATAAACAGCAATGTTAAGTTATGTATTATTAAGAAACTGAATTATTCAAAGCTCAAGGAAAAATGGTTTTGCTTCTGGAACTTAAGTGTAGCTGAGATCTGGCTTCTGAGATTCAGAATATTTTTTTCTTGTTTTCCTCCTCCAAAAACTAGGTGCATCTTGTGGTCTGGTGCGTCTTATAGAGCGAAAAATACAGTAATTCTCAAATGCTTCACTAATCATAAATTGCCATCCAGGAAAAGGCCTTAAATAGGGTTGCAAAATCTGAAGGTGTGCATAAACCACTGATTATGCAGAGCTTGAAATTAAACAGCACCTGTGCATGAACACAGATATAGAAAACTTATACTTGGTTGTTAAAATCTAGTTACCGATGGTACAAGCCGGGCCACTGGAATTCAGTAGATCTTTAACTTGTGTGCCACATTAATGAACCTGCTGAACTCAATCGGATCCCACGCAAACAGCATTTATCTAGCAGATAATGCATTTACAATGCCGGCTTTTCAGGGCGGGGTCTCTGTGCCACTTACTCTGCAAGTTTATCTTCTTTCAGTCTTCCATATACTCTGCCAAAACCCAGCACTGACTTTTCCCAGCTGGGGAAACCCAGCACCGTGCTATGGAATCAGTTCATCTCACACTCACGCGACGCAGACTTCCACCACAAAGTTTAAAGGTGGCAAAATGAATGCCGTGACACGGCAACTGTCGCTTGACACTCCTGCCTGCCTGAATCTTAGCACTGTGGACATGGAGAGGAGAAGAAACAGCAGCTGCCATAATATATTGCTGTACCTCCCCCTCCAGAGTAGGCCAAGCAGGAGAAAATATGCACCACTTGGAGGCATTGCTTGCTTGCCATAAGGTCAGGCGACTGTGTAATTACAAGGCTGAATAATCCTTCTCCCCCCCCCCAAAAAAAGAGAGATTGTGAGGAGGTAAAGGTAAGAACTACATTTACTGAATTTTACAGGGATGGCTTAGGCAAGAGTTACTGTATTAGTACTTATCTGTCACATAAGCCTAAAGGGAAATTCCTTCATGAACCATATGTGCTGATGCACTAGCTTCTGAGCATGCCAGAAAACTCATCTGCTGTGAAAGATTTCGTTACCACCCAAGCAATAAGCAATTAACCTGTCTCGTCTTCTCAGGGATGCTGTTGAGCAACATCGGCATAAGCCTAATGCCTCACATTCGAAAGACCAGATTACAATTTTTCACAAACACCACAAACCTCTTCCTCCACATACCCAGCTCAGATTCAACATAAATTAAGATTCTGTATTATGAATCTTGTACAAGAAAGTGCCTTGATGGTCCTTTATCTATCCTCTAAACAAGGGGTTAACTAGTAACTTACATATGTTTGTTCTTTTAAAAGTCACCCCTCATATTTTATACACATATTCAAAAGGAGGTCACCCTTCCAGATCAACTCCATCACTTTTAATTGTTATCCTTTCCTAGAAAACTGATACTGTCCTATGCATACAGGAAGTGCATTTCCTTCCTGTGGTGTCACCTAGGACCAGTTATACAGGACAGAGCAAGAACTATGAAAGGTATGGCAAAATACAGAAGCTGCATAGTCAACTGTCCTGGGTAGCTGACATACACAAAGGAAGATGATACCCCATTCCATTAATGCTTAAGACATGTTAAGATGCAAAAGATACGAAGCTACGGTGAGGCAAACCAAGTGTTATAGAACCAAAACAATGTGTTAATGGAAACAGTGATGTTTGAGAATCAAGTTTCTAAGCATTGCAAATTATGATTAACGAGATTAAAGATACGGATACTTAGAAACATTATGAGACCATGCGATAAACAGTGATGAACACTGTTATCAAACACTGTTTATAAAACCATAAAACACATTTTTAAATTCATGAGTTTATTTTCTCCCAAACTTAAATTCTCCACAAGGAGATGCTTTCCCTAACGAAATGAGTAGGCTGCAAGGAGGCGGCCGGGGTATAATTTTTCGTGGTGACTGTGCAAGGCCTTGAAGGAGAATGGGAAACTCCCTGGCCTTAAAACAGGGAAGGCAGCGAGTCAATGTCTTGCAACAAATGCAAACATGTATTGCAGCATCCTGAAAGACCAACAGATTTATTGCAGCATAAGTTTTCGTGGACCAGAGCTTACTCCATCAGATGCCCAACTGTTATCCTCAGCTGACGGATAAGAGAGAGCCTGTGGGTGGGTGTACAATACACAAACACACATGCATGCACTCAGAGACAGAATAAAGGAGGAATATACACATCACAGCCAAAAGGTTATGGGAACAGAAGAGGTGCAAAACCCAAGAATAAAACAAGCAAATGGTTATCTTAAGAAATAAATAAATAAAACATGCTCACCTGGTTTGTGACCTGAAAAAACCAGGAAGAAAAAAATGTGGTTTAGTTCTAGTCAGTCACTAAGCAGTAAAACTCAAACTTTAGCTCATTCTCCACCTTCCTGAAATCCCCAACAACTCATGCTCCCCTATGCATAAACCCCTCATCCCATTTCCCCCCCCCCATTATCTTTCATGCTGTCATCCTTACGTTATACATCTTGAGTTTCTATACTGTAGACCAGTGTTTCCCAACCGGTGTTCCGCGGCACACTAGACGTTGCCTGGTGTGCCGCGAGATGTTGCCTGGAGGGAGTCGGGCGGCGAGAGGCAGGGCGGCGGCGGCGAGGGCGGCGAGGAGAGGCCGCCCAGCGCGGGGCTATCGCCGTCTGCCTGCCTGGCTGCCTGCGTGGCACTGACGTCACGGGGCTGTAACGTGCCCCACATAGGCACACGCGGGGCGGTGAGCGAGCTCCCTCCCACATCCCATCGCCGCTCGCTTCGGCCGGCCTACTGGGCTGTCGCAGGCGGAAGGCCTGCGCATGCGCGAGGTTTTCGCGCCTTTGGGATTCCCTTCACGCCTTCCTCCTCCCGGGTCCTTGAGAGCGCGGGAAGCGGCAGCGCGAGACCGGCGTTGAGCCTGGTAGGTATTGCGCTTGCCAAGGCAGTCATTTGGGAAATGAAAACTTGCAAAGCAAGCAACCAGTTCAATCTGAAGTACGTGTATGCTTAATATCCTGTATCTGAAACCTGTTCTGCCCCCTCCCCCACACTTGGTGCCATTTTCATCTACACATGCAGCAGAGTAAGTTGACCCAGAATAGTACCAGTTCAGATGGGAGAATGACAGTGCTGAATGCTTTCCCATGTAGAACAGTCCCTGCAAATAAAAACCTAGCATATTTGGAAGAGGGATGCTAGCCTAACCATTACCTTCTATGCTGTTACTATTTTTTTATTTTTTTTTTACATAAGTAAAAAGTGACCTTTCCCCATCTGGCATGGTGGTGTGCCTTGAGATTTTTTTCATGAAACAAGTGTGCCTTTGCCCAAAAAAGGTTGGGAAACACTGCTGTAGACCACCCTGTGATCACCAGATGGAAGGTGGTATATAGGTTTAATAAGCAAGCAAGTAAACAAACAAACAAACAAACAAACAACAGCCCCCCTTTTTTGTCATTTCTCTCCCAACCACCTTCCCCTCCTTCCCAAAATGAACTCTGAATTGACTCCTACTGCCACTGCCACCACCCCAAACTTAAATATATAAAATGCAGATGTTTGTCTATATGCATATATGTGTGCTTGCAAGTGCGTGTGTGCATACATGTCTATAAACTGTATATATATAATTGTATATATGCACATGTATACATATATGTATATTAATAGATGTTTGTGCAAGCATATATATGTGTGTATAAATATATATGTGCATGCATGCCTATATTTATTCTTGTGTGCATAAATATACTAATATATAGATGTATATAAATATGTGAGTATGCACAAGTGTATGCATTAATATAAATATCTATTACATATATATGTACACATGTGTGCATATACTTATATACAGATGTCAATAAATATGTGTGTGTGCGCACGTATATGCGTGTGCATTAATATAAATCTATTGTGTTACGTAGATACATATATGTGCGTATATGTGCGTGTGTGTACAAATATACTTATATACAGATGTCAATAAATATGTGAGTGTGTGCATTAATATAAATATATTGTGTGTTACATAGATATATATATATATATGTGCGTATAGTGTGTGTGTACAAATTTATATACCCTGTTTCCCCAAAAGTAAGACATCCCCCCAAAATAAGACCTACTTCCAGTTTTGCCTCTCGCTGTAATATAAGGCCTCCCCGATAATAGGGCCACCCCGGAATATAAACCCCCCAAAGCTACCGTAAGGCATTGTACCGTATACAGGTAATAATTTTTTTTCTTTCCCCCCCTGTTTTTTTTTGTTCAACAATAAATGTGTACCGTATTCTTCATGGAAAAAATAAGACATCCCCTGAAAATAAGACCTAGCGCATCTTTGGGAGCAAAAATTAATATAAGACACTGTCTTATTTTCGGGGAAACAGGGTCGATGTAAATAAATATGTGTGTACATATTTATATATGTACATGTATATTTATATATGTACATGTGTATATATTCATGTAAGTCTGTGTGCATTACATCTCTCTCACTCTCTCTACACACGCACACACATATACATATATATATATATATATATATATACATACATATATACATATATATATATATGCATGCATATACACCTCGACGTGTGCGTGGCCCCCTCTTTCCTCCCCGGCCCCCGGCTCCCTCACCTCGGGGTTCGCCTCCAGAGGCAGCCAGCGGTGGGACTCCATGGCTCTCTCGCTCTCGCTCTCTTCCTCTCTCCCTGCTGCCGGCCGGGCTTCTCGAGACCTCGCTCTCCTGCTCCCTCGACGCGCTTCCGCCCGGAGCCCCGTCGCTCGCAGAGCCCGCCCCGCGCGCCTCCCGGCCTGAGAAAGGCGTGGCGCGTACCAACGCCTCCCAAGACGCACGGGGGGGGTGAACCCGGGAAAGGAAATACGCACGCACATCAATGTGACCCTCCTTTTTTTTTTTACCCCCTCGCCGCCCGTTGAAATAAACCCGGTATTAAAACAACAGAATAAAACGAGGGCCCCGCGGCGTTGTGCAAATATGCCTGGTTTCCTTCTCTTTCCCCCCCTCCTCTGCGATGAATTGGTTTCTCCCACGCCCGGCGGAGCAGCTGCAGCGGCAGCTTGCTGCCTCTAGAGGGCGCAGCTCGAGGTTCCGCTGTACTCTCGGCCGGCTCACCTGAGCGGCCAGGTGAGGCGGCGGCCTCGGGCGGCGCAGCATCCGCAGCCTCTTGTTCCTGAGCTGGATCTTCCCTGCAGGAGAGAGGAGGAGGCGGCTGTGCCCTCCTGAGGTTCCTTTCAGGCACCCAAATGTCTTGGGCCGGCCCTTACCTGGTAACAAAGTTTAATCCCTTGGGGGAAACATGCCTCTGGCTCTTTTAGTACTTGTGAAAAAGAAGTATATAAAAGTATACAGAAGCAGCGCTCCATGAGAGTTACCAGAATGCTTTCTTGGGTTTAGACTGAGAATAATAGAATTGTAATAATAATAGCGTACTCGGTTGAGTTGGCAAAAATGAGAGAAAAACTGAGACGTAATACTAATCAAACTTTTATTAAGAAATGGGGCACGTACAAAAAATAGCTTAAGGATTACTGTAATAACATGACGTCAGTGGCAGGATTTGAATGACTTCTGTGGGATGATGGATAAGAGAACATCATATTGATGAAAATTAAGAAAAAGAAAATGGAAATTAATAGTGCGCTAGATAGACTAAGTGGTAAATACATTATGAAGTGGCGGGAAGTCGTTGGAGACTCAAGAAGAACGTACTGTGGTGTGAGGTAACAAATACTATTGTTTTCTTTCCCTTTTTTCTGATTAATCCTTTTGTTTGTTACCGTACTTCTTTTTATTCTCAATAAAGCATTAAAAAGCAAAAAAGAAGAAGAATTGTAGTAATAATAATAATAATAATAATATTAATAATTATTTCTACCCCGCCCATCTGGCTGTGTTTCCCCATCCACTTTTGGCAGCTCCCAAAAAAATATTAAAAACATGATAAAACATCAAACTTTAAAAAAAAAAAAGTTGGAAGGGACTCCTTGCATTGAAAAGCAGCATTTCATGCTGGCATCTCTAGCTCAGTGCAACAGGAAACTGTGAGGCAGAGCTTGAAATGAGAGTACCTTCCTATTTTAACATGTAGATTTGGGGGGCTGACTGCCTAATGTAGTTTTCTTTTTGCATATTTAAGTGGCATTGAATGTGAAATAGTTATTTCTGAGGGTGTTTAATATGCCAGTGTTTAACCTAACTAGGACATCATTTTTGCAGCGCACTTACCCATACAGTGTGAATATATGGTAGTTTCTTCTTTTAATATTGAAGGTGCCGTTGCAACACATTAGACCAGCCAGCAATTTTTTATTGAGCAAGACTGCCTAGGAAGCCACAACACCATTAAATGAATGATTCACCCCCTGTTATTCACCCCAGTTTCTAGCAGTTAACAGCAAAGGAACAGCCTGAGCAAAATCTTCCAATACCTGAATACCTGATCATCCCGGATAATAGTTGTTGACAGCAGTACTTCCTGCTGTCTGATTGTTTTTATGATTAGCTTTTAATTAATACATGACTATGACATTTTTGATATCAGCTTCCGTGGATGCCTCAGTGCTGATTCACAATTTTTATATGCGCAATGCACATGATGAGGTACACCTTCCATGCGTCACAGAGCCACAACCAATCACAGCTTTCAGCAGGTGTCCACTGTTGGTCATTGGATGTGTCTGGGGATGTCCCTCCCTTTCCCATCTGAAGTCCCCAAGCATCAAGCACAGCTGTACTGCATTTTTGGGGTTTAGCTTCTTTTGCCGATGATGTAGCCAACTTAGCGTGGCCAGGGTGTTTCATCACATACAGAAGACTCTCAGCTTTCAATTGGGTTTTATTCCAGTATGTGAAGCCTATGTATGGTCAAAGCACGTTGGGTTCAAAGGAGGGTGGGATTGTCAGTCTTTTCCCCCTCAGACACCTAAATCCTTTCTGCCCTCTCTTATTTTTTTATTTGCCAAGCATTTAAAGCTTGAATGCACAACAGTTAAATGTACATAAGTTGCAAGTCACTTGTAGTGCATGTTCTGTCTCTTTTGTTGTATTCTATTGCAACTTCAATGAACGAATAGCTTGTTAAGTACGGTAACTTAATGCTGAAGTCTGCCTTAGAAGATTCTTTGTTCAAAAACAGCCACTTTAAAGTCAGTAGCAATAAATGGATATAAAACCTGACATCAGAAGGGGTAACTACAGTGGTACCTCGGGTTACATACGCTTCAGGTTACAGACTCCGCTAACCCAGAAATAGTACCTCAGGTTAAGAACTTTGCTTCAGGATGAGAACAGAAATCGTTCTCCGGCAGCGCAGCAGGAGGCCCCATTAGCTAAAGTGGTGCTTCAGGGTAAGAACAGTTTCAGGTTAAGAAGGGACCTCCGGAACGAATTAAGTACTTAACCCGAGGTACCACTGTATTCAGAAGTCCCTGGGAGAAAACTGCAAGCTTTCAGGACACTCCTGTTACTAACCTTAAAATGGCAATTTTCGAACACAGGAACGTCAAGATTAAGCATGAAAATGCTAAATTACAACAAGTTGATAATACTGTAGGGGATTTGTGACAACAGCATCCTCTGCAATGCTGGAACGAAATAATCTTTTCCAATCCAGGTGGGACTGTGTTTAAATTTATTACAATCAAGCAATCATTTTATATGTATGCTGCCTTTCCAAAAACCATGTTCAAGGAGGCTGACAACATATAAAAAATACATATCTACAAAACATAACAAAAGTCGTCATAAACAATGAACAAAACATCAAAAAGTACCCAAATGAAATGTTTTCCCCGCCCCATTGGTTGGACGTAGCAAATGAAGGACGAATCATTCGCAAGAGAAAAAGAAAAAATGGCCGCCTGGCTGCAAGAGGATTACATGTATTGAGTAAGTTGTAACTCTTTCTCACCTTTCTTGCCCCCACAATGTCGCAGCAGCACGTGCTCCCCCAGAGCAAGGAAACCCTCCTTCAGTCTTACAACAAGAGGTTGAAAGATGACATCAAATCTGTCATGGATAACTTCACAGAGATAATCAAAACTGCAAAGATTGAGGAAGAAACTCAAGTTTCTCGGGCAACCCAAGGCAAGCAGGACAACTATGAGATGCATGTCAGAGCTGCAAATATTGTTCGGGCTGGCGAGTCTCTTATGAAGCTTGTCTCTGACCTAAAACAGTTCCTGATCCTCAATGACTTCCCTTCCGTCAACGAAGCCATCAAGCAGTGGAACCAGCAGTTGCGCAGCTTTCAGGAGGAATGCGACAAGAAGCTTACTTCCCTACGTGATGAGATCTCCATGGACTTCTATGAGCTGGAGGAAGAATATTACTCTTCCAGATACAAATGAAGCCATGGACGGTTCCCCTGTAGTAACCACAACAATTTCCTGTTTCTGACATGGGGGGGGGGGCGGTGGCAGGTTGTGTGTGAAAACAACAACTGTCCTTGTTTTAAAAAGCATTCCTAAATTCTCAGCATCCCAAAGAATCCTGGCCCCAAAGCAGTTTTATTGAGTACTTTATGTATGGCGTGAAAGGTGGCTGTTCTGGAGGGCAAGTGCACCATGTCACTAGGACTTTATGCACGGAGATGTGGAGATCTGCTCCCTCATCGACACTGTGATCTTGTCACCTAAATGACTTGCAAACAGGAATCAGGATCTTGATTAAATTGCAATCCTAACCATGTCTACTCAGAAGTCAGGACCGGATTTAGGTTTGATGAAGCCCTAAGCTTCTGAAGGTAATGGGGCCCTTTATATGTCCAGCTGTCCTTTGTCAACAACAAGTTGCCGCTGGTTTTTATTTTGAATACATGCTATACAGTCATACTTTGGGTTACAGACACTTCAGGTTGCATTTTTTTGGGTTACAGACCGCCGAAACCCAGAAGTACCGGAATAGGCTACTTCTGGGTTTCGGCAGTCGCACATGCGCAGAAGCGCTAAATAGTGCTTTGCACATGCACAGAAGCGCCGAATCGCAACCTGCGCGTGCGCAGATGCGCTGCTGTGGGTTGCGAATGTCCATCCCGCACGGATCATGTTCGAAACCCGGGCGTCCACTGTATGGCCATTTATGGACCTAATAGGTATCTAAAGCCATTTATACATAACAAAACATGTATTTTATCAAAGTACATCCAGTTCCCCCCCCCTTTAAATTTTTTGGAGACCCCCAAGAGAGTGGGGCCCTAAGCTATAGCTTGTTTAGCTTATACGTAAATCTGGCACTGTCAGAAGTAAATCCTCTTGAATTCAATGGGGTTTGTTCCTAGCTAAGTGGGATTAAACTGCTTTGAATTTATTAATTTTTTACAATCAAGTGGTGTATAAATTTTATGAAATAAATAATAAATGAAGATGCCAGCTTTAGGCCACATTCATACAATACATTGAAAGTACTAGGATGCCATGCTGAACAGTTATTGATTCCCCCGGAAAATTATGGGAGTTGTAGTTTTCGAATGGTGTAGAGATTACAGCAGGGTCAGCAAACTTTTTCAGCAGGGGGCTGGTCCACTGTCCTTCAGACCTTGTGGGGGGCCGGACTATATTGGGGGGGGATGAATGACTTCCTATGCCCCACAAATAACCCAGAGATGCATTTTAAATAAAAGCACACATTCTACTCATGTAAAAACACCAGGCAGGCCCCACAAATAACCCAGAGATGCATTTTAAATAAAAAGACACATTCTACTCATGTAAAAACACACTGATTCCCGGACCGTCCGCAGGCTGGATTTAGAAGGCGATTGGGCTGGATCCGGCCCCTGGGCTTTAGTTTGGCTACCCATGAATTGCAGAATTGCAATTCATTCCCAGAGTTCTCTGTTAAAATGGATTGATTGTTAAGTCACTCTGGAAATTGTAGGTCTGTGAGGGGAACAGGGGCCTCCTAATATTGCTTAGCACCCTTAACTATAGCTCCCAGAGTTTTTTGGGAGAAGCCACGATTGTTTAAAGTGGTATCATATGCATGGTACGAGCATGCCATAGTCAAACAACAGTATCTGAAGGGCTGCAGTCCAGAAGATATGGAACTTTGGGGTTTAGGATGCAATCATATGCACACTTAGCTGAAAGGGACCACAGCTGAATAGAGTGGGGCTTGCTTCTATGTAAAGATACATAAAGGTAAAGGGACCCCTGACCATTAGGCCCAGCCGCAGACGACTTTGGGGTTGCGCCCTCGTCTCGCTTTACTGGCCGAGGGAGCCGGCGTACAGCTTCTGGGTCATGTGGCCCACATGACTAAGCTGCTTCTGGCGAACCAGAGCAGCGCATGGAAACGCCCTTTATCTTCCCGCCGGAGCAGTACCTATTTATCTACTTGCGCTTTGATGTGCTTTTAAGCTGCTAGGGTGGCAGGAGCTGGGACCAAGTAACAGGAGCTCACCCCGTCGCGGGGATTCGAACCGCCGATCTTCCGATCGACAAACCCTAGGCTCTGTGGTTTAACCCACAGCGCCACCCGTGTCCTTAAAGATACATAGGATTGGACATAATAAGCATTTTTTATTCTGTCTGTGATGACTGGACCATGAGTTTCCAGTTTGGGAATCTTAAGATGTGTTCAAAACAAAACAATATTTTAAGGGTTGTTTTGTTAGGCTACATTATATTATATTATATTACACATACATATATCCCATTAAAAATATTTGCTGGTGGGGGGAGTGCCCAAATAAATTGAACAATTTCCACATAAATCAATAGGATCCAAAACAGAAATAAAAAAACGCTGCTGCAGCAAAACTCGGCTCCCAAACTCGGCCTTAAATGATAGCCCAGCCAAAGATTCCTACAGACCTCTGGGTGAACGTTGGACTCCAACTCCCATCAGCCCTTGCTAGCATGACGAACGGCAAGGAGTTATGGGAGTTGTAGTCCAGAAGAACTAAAATTCAGGGGGAGGAGGGGAGAAAGAAGCGTTTTCAGGGGGAAGCGGCCGCGACTTATTCCAGCGAGAGTCAACTGATTCCCCCGGGCAAAAATGCATGCTTGTAAACCGGCCAAAGCGACCGAGAGCGGAAGAAGCTCCGCCATCGGAAACAACGGAGGGAAACCCTGGCTTCTGATTGGCTAAGAGGGAAGTCTCGGAAGGAGAAAAATTCTTTGTTGCCGCGAAGTGACCAATCAGGGAGCCGCTCGTTGTTCGTCGACGTTCCAAGGCGTTCCAAAGTGGGAGGCGCGTCCTTTGATGTCCATGGCTGCGGGAGTCGCCGCGATGGGGCTCGGAAAGCCGCTCGGACCGTGGGGTGAGTTTGGGGAGAGGTTGGTCGCTTTGGGGACTGAACGAGGAAGCATGCCGTGGAGGCTATTTTAAAAAAAAAGGCGGGGAGGGCTAAAATCCCATATATTTTTACCCGGGAGTAAGCCTTGTTGAACATAGTGGGGGGTTTTCCTTGAAAAATGCGTGGAATAACTATTATTATTATTATTATTATTATTATTATTATTATTAAGGCTAAGGGTGTAAATGAGGAGGGTTCTGGGGAACCGGCCCATCGCCTCAAGTGCTTCCTGGTCTACATTGCCTCCTAACTCTGCTTAATAATAATAATAGTTTATTATTTATACCCCACCCATCTTCCGCTTCGAGCAAAATATTAAAATACAATAATCATAAAATATTAAAAGCTTCCCTAAACAGCACTTCCCACTTCCTACATAGGTGGTTCTAGATTCAGGTAGGTAGCCGTGTTGGTCTGACGCATTCGAGATAAATAATAATAATAAAATTGTCTGTAACGTACACCTGGACAGTTTTTTAATTTTTTATTTCAAGTGCATAGGTGGTGTTTATCCTGTGCGGCTTTTGCAAGCCGCCTTCTCAACATGCTTGCTCTCAAGTAAGCCCTCTATTTCACTTTTAGCCATACCTAGAAGCTATGCCTTGCTATTATTTGCTGTTTATTAAATTTGCATATCGCCTTTCCCCTGTAGATCTCAGGGTGGTTGGTGGGTCTTTAGATTTTGTGAGAGGGCTACAGCTCATCCTTGACCCCTGGCTGTGTTGCCTGGGACTGATAGGAATCAAAGTGCAACAACATCAGGAGAGTCACCCATCCTCTATCGCTGCTTCAGGTTGTCCTCAGAATAATTGCCCTACAGTTTCTTTATCCTAGAATCATATAAGTGTAGATGTGGAGGGTCCCCTGAAGGTCATCCAGTCCAACCCTCTGAAGTGCAGGAATCACAACTAGATCATCCCTGACAGATGGCCATCCAATCTCTGCTTAAAAACCTGCAAGGAAGGAGAGTCCACAATCTCCCAAGGGAATCTGTTCCGCTGTCAAAACAGCTCTTACTGCCAGAAAGTTCTTGCTGCTGTTTAGCCACAATCTCCCTTTTTGTAACTTGAAGCCATTGGTTTGAATCCTACCTTCTGAGCAGGAGAAAAGAAGCTTGCTCCATTTTCCATGTAGCAGCCCTTGAGATATTTGAATATCTTGTCTCCTCTGTCTACTCTTTTGCAGGCTAAACTTATCCAAATCCCGCAACAGTTCCAAATAAGGTTTTGTTTCCAGACCCTTAAGTGCAAGCATAGGCAAACTCGGCCCTCCAGATGTTTGGGGACTACAACGCCCATCATCCCTAGCTAACAGGACCAGTGGTCAGGGATGATGGGAGTTGTAGTCCCAAAACATCTGGAGGGCCGAGTTTGCCTATGCCTGCTTAAGTGTTTCCTGCCACCACCACCCCCGCCCAGTGAACACCTATTTTTTCCTGACATCTTCCTGTGTATGCTTTGCCCCTCAAAAAAAACTACATTCCATACTTGTGTGGACTACGGATGTCTAGGAGATGCTTGATTCACTTTCCAATATTCATCATTTTTGCAGCCACTATTGAGCAGAAAACAACTTCTCCTTATTCATTCATTAGTTGGGTTAAATAATACAATGTTTATACTTTTATCTAATAGCAAAGTACCTTTTAAAAAAAATAAATAAATTGCTTTTCTGTTTTATCATATCAGTGCATAGTATGTTACACTCAAGCCTGTGGTAGTAAGAGAGAAAGAGAAAAATAAATAAATATAAGACATATATCTGTAAATAATAATAGTAACATATTCCTCCAGTTTAATTGACTCTTATGAGCTTTAATTTTAATTCCCCTTCCACTCTTTCTCTTGTTTCCTATCTGTTGTCTTTTTGACTGCATTTTCTGATTCTACTAAATTATTTTTATTACTTTACACTATTCCGCTTTGTCACATCTACTGCTGAGTATTTCCCCCCCAGTCTGTTACACTTATTTTCTTCTTATATTTTCCATATGTTCTATATATAACATCCAGTTCTCTTTTTAAATTCTTACCGTCAATATTTCTTACATCTATTTGTCATGCTGCCACGTTCTATACATTTTAATATTTTAAGGTGCCATTCTTCTCTTGATGGCCCTGCATCTGTTCTCCACTTTTGTACTACGAAAATTCCTTCTGGGAATATTAACAATAGAAATTCCCAAAAATAAAACTGCTCTATGGATGTATGTGACTGCAGCTGCCCGAATTATAGTAAAAGACCTTTTGAAAACCATTTGTGGAGCAGTTCAGTTTGTGGAGCCCTGCTGTTCATATGAGCCAGAGTGTGAGGTGTTTTGGGGAAAACTCTATTTTTTGCTGTGCCAAGGCAAACAGGTGCAGCTGAGGGGTTTAAACCCACCAGCGAAGTGCACAATTTTGGGGATTTTCTTCAGGCTACTGCCAGCGAGATACCCACAGGTGGCCATTTTCCACCCAGCTGGTGCATTGGTTAGAGTTGCACAGTGATTTAAATGTGAAGCTCAAAATCTTCTCTCTGTTTTGCAGATTTTGGCAGCACCGCGGACATCATCAGAACAATACCACAGGATCTGTTTGCAGAGCTAGTAAGTAACTCCTTTCTCCCTTTTAATCATGGATCATTTTATAGCGATTTTGCTCCATTGCGTGCCTTACGGTTTTTTAATTCCCTTCCTAGTATTTCTGATGCGCAGTTTCATGAAAGAAAAGCAGTTTTGCTTCAGAGGATGGTGGGATGGAGCCATGCTGTCTCCTCACATGGGACTGGAATATATTTTAAGACTTGAGATGCACTCCACTGAAAACAGTGGAGCTTACTTCCGAGTAAACATGCATAGGTGACACAGCTCATAAACAATTCTACCCTCTACCACTTCACATTTAAGGAAAGCTTCTTTATTTGTCTCCAGGATAAACTTCAGATTTGTTTGTATTATTTAACTTAATAATACAATTTTTAAAAAATACCATATTGGCCCGAATATAAGCCACACCCACAAATAAGCCGTACCTTTAAAATTTGGGCGAGGGGAAGACAATACCTGAATATAAACTGCTCCCTTAAAATTCTGCAGGCACTCACACCCGTAAATGGCAAATGTAAGAAGAAAATCCTATGAGTAGTAGAGAGGACACGCAAGTGGGTTAAACACCTGTTCGTAGCACCGTAAATGCAAATAAAAAATCAATACTGTACTGTAAAATACGAGGAAAGCGACAAATGACATTAGAATTAATTGCACAACAGTCTCAAGCTCGCAAATTGGTAATAAAACATTTTTTGTTCCGTTTTACTATATGTCTGTTTCAGTAGCGATATTGTAAAAGCCAATTTTCGTAAGGTCACAAATTTAAGCCGCACTTTAACTTTTCACGGTCGGAATTTGGAAAAAAAAAGGGTGGCTTATATTCGGGCAATATGATGCTCTCCAACAAATCATTAGAGTTGAAACCTTTTTAGGTTCTAGCCTGTTAATATTATGGCCGCATTTGCACATAACTCTAAGAAACCATGGTTTAATGTGAAAATGATGGTTCTTGGAGAGGAGACAGCAGCCACTTTGGCCAGTTGATGTAAGCCATGGTTTGGCTTAGTGTTACGTGCAAACCAGGCCCTTATCGCTTTATTGGCAAATGTAGAGTGCTTGGCCAAGTAAAGACTATTATGTACAGACCCCCTTCCTAGGACAGCCTCCGTGGTTCAGCTGTCCAATGGGGCTGGACTAGGTGAGCCTTTGGGTCCTTTCCAACTCTACATTTCTATTAAATGTTTTTTTTTTTTTAATTTTAATTTTATTTATAGAAGTATATACAGTGGTACCTCAGGTTACATACACTTCAGGTTACAGACTCCGCTAACCCAGAAATAGTGCTTCAGGTTAAGAACTTTGCTTCAGGATGAGAACAGAAATTGTGCTCCGGTGGCGCAGCAGCAGCAGGAGGCCCCATTAGCCAAAGTGGTGCTTCAGGTTAAGAACAGTTTCAGGTTAAGAACAGACCTCCGGAACGAATTAAGTACTTAACCCGAGGTACCACTGTACTGCTATATCATTAAAAAAAAAAATCTAGTGGCTTACAATAGTACCTGTGTGTAAGAAAAACGCATAAAAATGTAAAATCTGAGACCATCAATTTCCATTATGGAAAGACGTAATCTTAATTGCTGGCCTAAGCCAGGTGGCATAGGAAAGTTTTCAGCAGATGTTTAAAGGTTGAAACAAGATGCACAATGAATCTTTTTTGGCAGAACATTAGCTTTAGTTGATTGTTTACCGTTTAAAGGTAAGTTTCATATTAGCAAGTCTGATACAGACCCATTCTTGGAAATAAGGATATGTGAGACAATTAACAATAGAAGCAAGGGACATCCTTAATGCCCTTTTATTTAATCTTTTTTTATTATATATAGTTTATAGTTTATTATTTATACCCCGCCCATCTGGCTGAGTTTCCCCAGCCACTCTGGGCGGCTCCCAATTGAGTGTTAAAAATACAGCATTAAATTATTGGCCGTCCTTTAGTACAGCAGCTCACTAGAGCCAAAGAAGCCTAAAAATAAATTTTCCCTTTAACTCTCAGTCTTGGTTATTTAAATGTGTATGCATTAATCAGTCAGCTAAAACTTCTGGTTAAAGTTTGTAGCCGTGGGTAGATTATGAAAATTGTCCAGGCAAGGCCTTCCCTACCATAAGGTTGATGTCACTAGCTGATTGACAGTTGATTTTTGAATGATCTTAAAACCAGGGATTCTTCTACCACCATTTTATCACTCTATTGCCTTTGAAAGCAAATGAATGCTGTTTCGTTCCACACAAAAAAATCCTTTTAATTCCCACAAATTGCATTTGCAATTAGCAAGTAGTTGTCATCTAAGAACCATTTAAAATCTTCTTTCTTTGCAGTGTCAGCAAATCATTCAGAATCTTCAGTGTCAGATCCCAGCTGTGAACACAGTGGAACTATGTCAGGTAAACTGAATCGCTAAAACAATATTGCATGCATTTTAACAACACCCATTATTAATTTGTCCTCTGCTACAACCCTATGAACTGCATTTCTCTCCTAGAGATTTCAGGCAGCTGGGATTGAAATAGTCACTAGTGACCTGGAAAAGGTTGTTAATGCCATTTCCTTTGTATTCAGGTAAGCAAACATGGTCCTCGGATCTCTTTAACTATATCGCTACTGTTTACTGCATGGAAGAAAATTAGTATCTGTAATTATGAGCAGTGCTTCTGTGAATTAAAAATACTGATTTACCCTTCTAGCCTAGTTTGTTAGCCTGCCCTATAATCATCTACGATATATAGGGATTCCTCATACATATTCGTTGGTACACCATTGGCCCAAGGCAAACCTTGATGCTCTGCTTAACCTCCTTGACAGTGTCCTTTGTGAGATAATTCCAGAATTCACTGGAGGAAGAGCAAGCCACAAGTATGATAAATGATCTAATTTTGTTTAATTGTATTTTATTTTATTTGTGTTTTTTTTTACAAAAACCCTGCTAAAATAGGTGTAAAACAGTCTTCCAGGGGACAAGCAAAATTTAAAATCAGCTCTTTTCTGTTTAAAATCTAGCAGTGAAGTCCTCCTTTCCCCTCCTTTCCTTTTTTTGTTTTGTTTAGCACAGCAGCAAAAGATAAACTCTCGCCAGAAGACCTGTCCACCAGGCTAGGAGGTGCAGCTGGTACTCTGCCGAAACAAGCCGTCCAGGTTCTTCGTCACGTCTGGAACGAACAGGGCAGCTCGATCGCAGTGTCGGAAGATGCCAAAAATGTAGCAGTTGTTGGACGGGTAAAACAATTTGTTTCAAAGGAAGTTTGCACTGGGTTAGCTCCTTCGGCAGAGCATGGTGTAAAATTCTAGTTGCATATTATTGTTGTCCCATGACACAGTGTCCTGGTTTGCATAGCACATTAAACCATAGTTATTTAGAAAAAAACCCTACTATGGTTTAACATGAACGAGCAGCACAATGTTGCATGCTGTGCAAATGTTTCCAGGGCTCAGGCTGCTATCTCTGAGCTGCAGATGTAGGAATGTTGTTTTGTGCAAACTGGGGCTCGTGGTTTGTTTGGGGGAAGCAAACCATGAGCCTGGGTTCAGACGAAAAAACATCATTATTAATTAAATGACCATTGGTTTCTAAGCTGTGTTTTAATGTGGCATCCAAGGTTTGCCGCAGCTCTGTTGACATCAACGACAACTTGATTCACATCTGAATTAGCACAATCTGGTTTGCTGTGAACCAGAATATCAAGGAGGGAACATGAGCATGCGAGGGGAAGAAACTGGCGCATGTGCCCAAGTCTGTTTAATGGAATGCCAAACCATGGTTTGGTGCTGCATTTGAACGCACTACTTGCGCATTCTGCCAGCCTCAGAGAACTCGTATTGGTCACAGTGTCTGATTCTCTTCCTCCCTCTTTATTTATTTCCAGCTTATTGATTTTCAGTGGAAGCTGGGGATGGCAGTGAGCTCCGACAGCTGCAAATCTTTGAAGTCTCCTTATGTTACGATGGCAGTAAAAGTGGCGGATGCTTCAGGCCACATCACAAGCAAAACATTTGAAATGACGCTCCCACAATTTCAGGTTTGTATAATAACATAACCCCTTCTAAAGGTTGGCACTTGTTCTAAGGTGGTTACAAATCAACTGGGTTGCAATGGAAACGCCATTGGTTTTCCATGTTCCTGTTAACTTAAGACTCCAAAACTGGGGAAATGCGTTGACTTTTTGAAATATGTTTTGTGTAATGGTGTACTGTGATTGGCTCTAGAATGAAAAAGGAGAGAATTTGGAACATTAGAGGAGAGAAGGAAGGTTGAAGCAATGCAGAAGTGTGAAAAGGCCCTGACTTGGGATTTGAACTTGGACATACAAGCCAAACACTGTAGGTCAGCTTTCCCCAACTTGTGTCATCCTAATGTTTTGGACTGTAACTTTGATCAGCCTCTGCCAGCCTGAGCAGCGGTTAGAGATTTTGGTAGTTCTAGTCCTAAACATTTGGGTGGCACCAGTTTGAAGTAGGCTGCTACATCTCACGGACTGTGTATCCAAATAATCGTATATCCTTTCCTTTTCTTTCCATTTTAGAACTTCTACAATCAGTTCAAGGAAATGGCAGCCGTCCTTGAGACAGTTTGAGCATCTGCTGTGCATTTGTTTTGAATCGAATGAGCTGTTCCTGTTTGCCTTAAAACATTGTGGGTTTTGCTAAGAGAAGGTGTCATTTCCATTTCCTACGCGGCTTCGCCCATCTGCTGGACTGTTCATGTTCAAAGGCCTGTAAAATGCCTTCTTATATACTGAAATGCTACACATATGTAGGACGTGCTTCTTAAGAGCAAATGTAGTGGGTGTAGGATTTTCACCATACAAAAGAACCCAGAAAATTGGGACTATGCAGGAGATGTTGCCTGAGTGCTGTTAGGCCACAATTATAAAGCTTGTGGTTTCTGTTAATTTTTAGCTCAAGCATATTGATTAGCCTGTTACCCATGAAACGTGGCATGCCACATATTTTGGGATCCCAAAATGCTCTTGTTTTCTATTAAATGTAAAGGTGGGGAAATCGTTGCACCTTTATTTTCCTGATTGTCTGCTGCCTTTTGCTTATGAACCTTAAGACTGTGTGTGAATGTACTTGTCTTCTGCTAGACGTTTTAAACACAATAAGTTTAGGCTGGGATTTGTAGTTTTCCATGCACGCCCCAGACTGCAGAACCTTGGGCCTTCTGAAAATCATCTGAAAAGCAAAACTGTCTGGCTGTCACCTGTATGCATGCATGTTCCCTTTTTTTTAGATCCCAGCTAGCCCATTAAAGGTAAAGGGACTCCTGACAGTTAAGTCCAGTCGCGAACGACTCTGGGGTTGCAGCGCTCATCTTGCTTTACAGGCTGAGGGAGCCGGCATTTGTCCACTCCGCAGACAGTTTTTCTGACCAAGCCGCTTCTGGCACAGCGGAACACCAACACCAGAGCAGCGCATGGAAACACTGTTTACCTTCCCACCAGAGCAGGACCTATTTATCTACTTGCACTTTTTAGCGTGCTTTCAAACTGCTAGGTTGGCAGGAGCAGGGACCGAGCAACGGGAGCTCACCCTGTCACTGGGATTCGAACCGCTGACCTTTTGATCGGCAAGCCCAAGGCTCAGTGGTTTAGACCACAGCGCCACCCACGTCCCTTAGCTAGCCCATTGTTGTTGTTGTTTAGTTGTTGAGTCGTGTCCGACTCTTCGTGACCCCATGGACCAGAGCACGCCAGGCACTCCTGTCTTCCACTGCCTCCCACAGTTTGGTCAAACTCATGTTGGTAGCTTCAAGAACACTGTCCAACCATCTCGTCCTCTGTCGTCCCCTTCTCCTTGTGCCCTCCATCTTTGCCAACATCAGGGTCTTTTCCAAGGAGTCTTCTCTTCTCAAGAGGTGGCCAAAGTATTGGAGCCTCAGCTTCAGGATCTGTCCTTCCAGTGAGCACTCAGGGCTGATTTCCTTCAGAATGGAGAGGTCTGATCTTCTTGCAGTCCATGGGACTTTCAAGAGTCTCCTCCAGCACCATAATTCAAAAGCATCAATTCTTCGGCGATCTGCCTTCTTTATGGTCCAGCTCTCACTTCCATACATCACTACTGGGAAAACCATAGCTTCATGGATCACTGCCTTGCCATGGCGAAGGGGCTTGAATAACTCAGAGAAGCTATGAGCTATGCCGTGCAGGGCCACCCAAGATGGACAGGTCATAGTGGAGAGTTTTGACCAAACGTGATCCACCTGGAACAGGAACTGGCAAGCCACTCCAGTATCCCTGCCAAGAAAACTCCATGGACAAGGACAACAGCTAGCCCATTATGGGCTATTAAATACAGCTTTGGTTCTATTGCAGAGTACTTGCTTAAAGTGATTGCTCTCTTCTTTCCTGATGTATAACCTGTGTCCTTTCCTCCCAAACTAGCCCTGAAGCAAGCAGTGAATGCTGACCCAGCAGTTAAGTTTAGGAAGTTATAATCTGATGCATAAGCCCTCGGTCCCTGTCTGCTACTGTCCTTCCACAGTTATGGTCTCTTCAATGGATGGTCTGGGTAGGAGTCAACAGTTCATCCACTCTTTATTTCGACAAGTTTCTTGCCTTGTCGCAAACCTGTAGAAATTACTAAGAGGCCTTTTAACTGCTACTAAATGACTTCCAAACGGCTTATTGTATCAACAGGGGCAGTGAATATTTTAGGGCAGTGTAGAATCCTCTGGAATTTTGTAGAATTGAAATAATAAGGCCAGTGGCTCACTGGAGAAGAGGCTTGAAGTCACCTTTGGCTATATTCTCTCTATCATCTCTTGCTGCATATATATATATATATATATATATATATATATATATATATATATGCTTTCGTAGATTTTCACGGGTACAGGAATGCAGGTTTTGGTGTCCTCGGGTGTCTTCCCGTGTAAAAGTTGGGGTGTCTAGGCGACGTTTCGACGAGGTCTCACTCGTCATCTTCAGGCTGGTGCTTTCGGCTTCTTGTTACTGGAACAGAGCAGGATCTCAGTGTTTGAGTTCCTATAAATACTGTTGAGGAGGTGTGGTGTATAGCCTCCAATGTTCTGGGCAGAGAGGAAGTTCCCAGGCTAGTGTGCCTTTTCTTCTTTTGTTCCTTAATTACTTGAGGGATATCTTGAGTGATTTCTTGAGTGATATCCTGAGTACCACTTAGGTGGGTCATTAGGTGTGGATTAGTTGCTAAAGCCTTCGTGTCTTGACCTCTTGAACTTTGTGAAGAGTTTTTCTGAGAAGATGGCTGTACTGCACTTAGTTGTGCTCTGGCTTGGCTTCGTGTATAGGGGCGAGCTGTGGTTTTGTGGCCTGTGCCAGCCAGATCTGTGTAGGGATTGCAGGGGGGTGCAGCATCCGGAGGTGCCACCATGGTTTGGCTACTGGATGGTGTCTGTAATTTATCTGTGGAGAGGGTCTGGGTTTGGGTCTGGTGTGGTTGATTGGTGATGGCGTTCTGTGTGCCTCTGGATCTGGTGTCAGTTTTTGTGGGGAGGGCTAATTTCCAGATGTCTGGCAGGCGGGATGTGTCGTCACGCTTGTTCATGTTGTGAGGGTGTTTCTCTATCTCGATGGCTTCCATGATTATTCTCTTGTGGTGATGTTCCATGTTAAAGAGCAATTTGGAATCTGCAAAATTAATTTCGTGTCCTGTTTCTTTCATGTGTTGGAAAAGAGAGGAAGTTTTTTCTTCTTTTTTGACGGCATTCTTGTGTTCTGCGATACGTGCATTTATTCGTCTGTTTGTTTGTCCAATGTACGTGGCTGGGCAGACTTTGCAGGGTATTTCATAGACTCCTTGGTTTTCCAACTGGATTTTATCCTTGGGGTTTCTGAGGATATTGGCTATTTTTTGGTTGGTGCAAAAGGCTGTTTTGATATTGTGTTTATGGAGGATTTTGCTAATTTTATCTGTAGTGCCCTTGATATAAGGAAGGAGGGCCATGCCATTGTTTTCTTCTGTGTCTTGGTTTTTGGGGGGTGTTTCTTTTTGGATTAGTTTCGTAACCCTGTTTTGCTGGTATCCATTGGCGATTAACACATTTGAGAGATTCTGTAACTCAGTTGTCAAGTGGTCTTTGTCAGCCAGGCGTTTGGTTCTGGAGATGAGAGTCTTGGCTACGGAGTTTATTTGTGCAGGGTGGTGGTGTGATTGTGCATGTAAGTAGCGGTTGGTGTGTGTTTTTTTCCGGTAGATAGTGTGTCCTAGGGAGCCATCAGGTTTTTTGTAGACTAGGACGTCAAGGAAGGGAAGTTGGTTGTTGGCTTCTATTTCCATAGTGAATTGTATTTTGGGGTGTAGGCTGTTGAGGTGTGTGAGGAAGCTATCTAGTTTTTCCTTCCCGTGTGGCCAAATTACAAAGGTGTCGTCAACATATCTGAGCCAAAGTTTGGGTTTGTGTTCTGACTTGTCTAAAGCATTGGTTTCAAAGTGTTCCATGTACAGGTTTGCGATGACCGGTGAGAGGGGTGATCCCATAGGTGCTCCTTCTATCTGTTTGTATCTTTGTCCATTGTGGATGAAGTACGTGTTGGTTAGGCAGTGGTTGGTCAGGTCCAGGATGTATTCGGGGGGATTGTATTTGTTTTGAATGGCTGTCAAGGCTTCATTAATGGGCACTTGTGTGAAGAGAGATAATAGATGAACATACAGCAACCAGGTAGAAAAGGTGGGAAAAAATGGAGCACAGTGTAAAACGCTGCATCACCAGCAAAAAGAATAAGATACTGTAGTAGTTGCAAACTGCATAATGAAATAGAATTTAAAGTGCTTAAGTCCCATCTTCTGTTTATCTAAGCCAGCCTCTCCATAGGTCACAGGAGTCAGCAAACTTTTTCAGCAGGGGGCCAGTCCACTGTCCCATATACCTTGTGGGGGGCTGGGCTATATTTTGAAAAAAATAATGAACGAATTCCTATGCTCCACAAATAATCCAGAGATGCATTTTAAATAAAAGAGCACATTCTACTCATGTAAAAACACGCTGATTCCCGGACAGTCCGCGGGCCAGATTTAGAAGGCGACTGGGTCAGATCCAGCCCCCAGACCTTCGTTTGCCTACCCATGGAGTAGGAGGAAGATCTGTATCTCAAGCTGTTGTGACAATAATGACTAATAAGTAATCCTTAGTAATTAGTAAAAATAAGTAATCCTCACACTCAGCAAAGAGCCAGCACAAGCTCTGATGCAGAAGTTCCTACCTGTAGTCTCCTAGGATGATGGGTGCTATTCTAGTGCTGCAACTAGCCCTTTCTGCATTTGAGGGCAGATTCTAGATGCTGCACCAGCAGCCTCCACTGGGAACTGGATTTGAGGATAGTTTGAGGATTACTAAACTAGTTGCAGAGGTGCATAGCCAACGTGTGTGTGCGCGCGCGTGCACGTGTGTGTGCTTGTGTTTTAACAGTCATGATCACAACCTAGCATACCCAAATATGAACCCTAAACAGTGACTTCCATGAGAAAAATGGCATTGAAACATTTCCTCCCAAGTACGGAGCCAGTGCAGGGCTTTGAGGATAACAAATGATAGGCGGATTAAGGGATAAGAAGCCAAATGATGAAATAAGTGGATAAGCCTGTCAGGAGATGAGGGGGGATTATTGGATGGGTTGATGTGAATGGATCCCCGGATTGTGAGACAGGAGAGACGGAGTGCTGTTTTACTGTTGGGGATGTTACATCCCGATCATAATTGTATTTACCCTCAAAAGAAGGCTGCTGGTTTCAGTAGTTCTTGCTTTCAAATAAACAGGCTTCAACAGCAGCCTTTAATTGTTTTAAAAGGGGAAGGTGAGGGTTTGAGAACCACTGGTCTAGTGTATAAGATGTGCAGCCGTAGTCTTTAAGGCTCCAGCCCCCAACCTACAAATCAAATAAAACACTACCTCTTGGAAATCTATAGTATTTTGGGGAAAGGGTACCATATAGCCTATAAAACCTTAAAATGTGAACTTGGGGTGGTGGTGGTTTGAGATGGACAGAGACCCATCTCTTCCTAGGTATGAATGATTAAAACAACACCCCTACAGAGCAGGATGGTTTAGGGCAAATTGGGCACCAGCCTCAATCAGCGGCTGGCCAGCTAATCCCCACCTGCCTGCTTTCAGTTGTCCTCAGACAACTCAGCACGGAGACCAAAACTAGAAATAATTGACACTGGCTCTGCGGTTCCAATGGGCACCAGCCACCACTGCGCCTCAGACGATTCATGTTCTGGCCTTGGGCGCAAGCATGACACACCAGGCAGAGCTCAATAGAAATTCTTACGCCCTGAACATGACCTGCTCCAAGATCCTCCTAAGTGGGCTTGTTTCATACGTAAGTCCCTCTGACTTCAGCATACCGGGTCATCATTCTTTCTTAGCAGCACCTCCACAGGGCCTGGGACCCCCGTCCAGAGGAAATCAGAGCAGGATTTGCCGGAAGGCGGCATACAAGACCCCCACACAACCATCTCAGGGATGGATGTAAGGTTTACTCTTTAATCTCTGTGGAAAAATTCGGCAAGGCAGCGGAGGTTTAGGGTCAGGGTTTTTCTTCTCCCAGATGGGCAACCTTCCCAGGTTGACGAGCCCCATCTGCCCCTCACTTCCCTCTACACCATGTGCAGAAACCATCTTTTCCACCCTTGGACCTGCTATGGGTCTCATCTGCTCAATCCATTGAAGCTTATCTTCACATGCAGGGAAAGTCCCTAACTCAAGGGTTTGAGACGCATCGGCTACCCTCACCCACAGATCATAGCTTCATTTATTTTTAATATTGAATCTTGGGTGTTTTTCTTTCACCTCAAAGCCCCTCAGGGAGTAATATCCAGCAATGCTCATTGCATTACGACAGGGCTGGGAATTATGCCCCTTGTGGCGTTATGGTGGCTTATGTCACAATAAATCCCTCAGTCCATCAGCTCCCCCCCCCTTTGTTTCCTCTCCCTTTCGCCCCCCCCCCTCCCGCCTAAGTAAGAGTAAGTTAGAGCCTTGACGCGTAAGTTGCGCTGGTTCGACGGCGGCGACTACCAAGCAAGAAGGCAGGCGCGCAACCCGGGCGCAAAAGACGCCACTGAAGCCCGCGCTTCAACTTCCAAGTTAACCCGCTCAGGATCGCGCTTGCGACGCCTCTGCCGGATCTTGCCGCTAGATCCGCCCTGCGGCAGCCAGCGGACGGCGAAGGGTGCGTGCATGAAGCCGCCGACGCCGCTCCTTCCTCCCCTTCTGCTGCTGGGCATGTGCGGCCCGACGCGCACACATGCGCGCCGGGCGCGGAGGATGCGCAGACGGCGAGAGGACTGTCGCTTCGCCTAGGCTGGCTGGAGCGCGGATCGGCTGCTGCAGCCGCGTCGAGGCGGGGACGGGAGCCTCCGGGAGCGAGGGAGGCGCGCCTCGTTTTGTTTTGGCCGTCGGGAAACGACGCGGCGAGTCTCCTTTGCGGGCAAACTGCAGGGGAGGGCGGGCCAAGCCATTCCAGCCCGCCTCCCAGGCGCGTCGCCTTTCCGTGCGCCACCCCTCGCTCCGAGGAGGCGGGAGGAGGCAGCCCTCGCGGCCGCCTCACTGGCGCTGCCCGGCGGGGTGGGCGGGCGCAGGAGGCGGGCGCGGACGGCCGTCGCGCAGCTCCAGGCGGCGGGTGCTGGGAGAGGGTCGCGCCCCGGAGCCCTGCAGCACCTCCGAGGGATCGCGGCACCGGGATCCATGCGCGAAGAGTCCGCCGCCCCCGACGTGCTGCCTCGCTGCTTGCGGCAGGGCATGAGATGCCCCCTGGCGGCACGTTTCCTCGCCCGGGAGCCGCGCTGAGCTGCAGGTGACCTGCTTTCCGAGGGCCGCGCAAGGCTGCGCTCCTTCTTCGGACGCCGCAAAGGAAAGCGAGGAGGCCTTTGGCCGGGGCTCCTGCCGGCCTCATGGAGAAGGCGAGCTCGGACGGGGCGTTCTCTCACCCCCTGGAGCCCCCCGCCGACCCGCTGCAAGGCGTCGGCAAGGCGCCGTCGGGGGAGAAGCGCTTCAGGCTGTGGTACGTGGGCTGGTCGTGCCTGGACCGGCGCACCACGCTGCCCATGCTGCCATGGCTGGTGGCCGAGATCCGTCGGCGCAGCCAGAAGCAGGAGCCCAGCGCGGTGCCCGCCCGCGAAGTGCTGCTGCTGCTGGGCTCGCCCAACCTGCGCTGCATCCCGTCGGCCAGCAGCGCCGCCAACCCGGCCGTCTTCATCTTCGAGCACAAGGCGCAGCACATCGCGCGCTTCATCCACAACAGCCACGACCTCACCTACTTCGCCTACCTGATCAAAGGCGCAGCCCGACGACCCCGAGTCCCCCATGGCTTGCCACGTCTTCAAGGCCACCGACCCCAGCCAGGCAAGTCCAGGGGCGGGGGGGGGGGAGGGCTGGGGTCGAGCCATGGGCAGCGCCGCTTCCGCGCTTTGGCCGCGGGCGCGCAAGGGATGAAGAAGCGGCCCGCGCCATGCGGCGCAGCGGCTTCCTCGGCCCGCCTCTGCAATGTCGCGCGCGCCTCCTCCTCCCCCGAAGGAAGGCCACGCGCGGGGTGTTGCCAGTCCGAGTGTGCAAACAAACCACATTTGTAGCCTTGCAATGGTCCCGGCCAGGCTAGGGCCGCCGCAAAGGTCTGTAACTCAAAGTGAGATTTGAACCCAGCTCCAAGGGTTCTTGCACCAGACTGTGGGGAAACACCCGGATTACCCCAAAGTAGAATGAATTCGCAGACTGAGAGAATGTGCTTTGGTCTAGTCTCCTAAAGCAGACTAGCATTCTGGTGAAAATGATCTGAAGGCTACAGCAAGGTGCCCGGTAGCTTGAGAAAAAGCATCACTGGACTCACTTGAGCTTCGGAGGAAACTCGCTTAGAATTGGGCTGCAAATGTAATGCTCCAAGGCTGTGATGGATAGCTGTGATGCACACCTTTCTGAAGCTGTGAACACCTAGCTAATAATCCAGGAGAGTAGCATTGTGTCCAAGGTGGTTCTTTGCAGAGTCTGTTCTGCCCTGTGGTTACATGCAGAAGGGAAAGTAACTTTCTGGTGAATCATGATAGGTTTCCAGATTTGCAAAGGTGTATATTCCTGTTAATGTATAGCCAGGTGAAATATTTCACTTACGTTAGTGTGGTGCTGGGGATGGCAGTGGAACTCTGGAAAAAGCAGTGTGAGAACGGCAGTCTATACTTCCCTTGAGTTCTGTCTCCTATACAGAATGAGTCCCACAAGTGACTGCATTCATGAAGGAGACTCTAACCAGGCTGTTCTCTGAATCCTGTAGTGGGAGCCAAGAGTCAAAATAGGGCAGTAGCGGGTGGAGCAGTAAACTATATGCAGGTCCTGATGTGTTTCTAATTAAACCCTAAAAATATGCCATCTGAATGCCAAACACACCTGTGCTTTCATTGCACCTAAATAAAAAACAAATTCTGGTGCAGCAGCAGCAGCTGTAAGGGGTAAATAATATGATTTGATTTTCTGAGTATTGCACAATGCATGTTTACTTAGAAGAAAATCCCCACCCTGAGAATAAATGTATATGTAAGAGCCTCAGTACTTAATGCTGGGTAACTGTCACTTAAATGCTAATAGCAGGAGTATCCATCTTTGCCACTAAACCTTCCCTTCCAAATCTTTCTACTCCAATAGGACACATTCTGGCCTTGCTCTTGGTTCATTCCTTCTGCTACCCAAATATTGTTGGGTATTTTCAGTTACCTTTCCCTAGAGATCTCCCCATGTTACATCCCACCACTCTCTCATTACATTAGCTTTAGACAACTCCAGCTAAGGGGATTAAAAAAACAACTATGCATAGATACGGAGAATTAGTATATTTGAAATCAAGACCCAAATCTAGCTCAGATGTTCCTTTTGAGTAGTGAAACCTCCGTAACCGCTGCTTCAGGTGACTGGAGAGGAGGAAGGAAACACAGAGGAGATGTGAGATACCAAGTTGTGTTTGCAATGCAGGAGTATGCTAATTCTTAAGACAAATGCATTCAGATGCAATGAAGGAGATAGGTCCATGGTTTGGAGACCATGAGGTCTCCCCTGTTGGAGGCATATCAGTTCCTGGGAATCACAAGGAGAGTGCTGTTGTGCTGTTGTAGCCCTTGGGTCTTGCTTGTGTTTATCACAGGCATCCAGTTGCCCATTGTGACAACAGGATGAGGGACTAGATGGGCCTCTGGTTTGATCTTCCGGGGCTCTCTTTAGGACCTTGTACCTTGGACATGCATTTCTCTCATTTTTAATGGAAAAAATCCCATCAATTCCCGAATCTTCAGCTATGGCGGTTGCTTCAAGGTGCAACCAGATGGGCAGTTTCTTGGTTTGGCACTTACAGCTACAGGACAGTGACAAAGAACTAACTTCATTTGTGTTGCCGGCTCATAGTGCTGCTTCTTGCCAATATGTGCTATCCTAGCAATGTGCAATCTGTCCGGGTTGCTTCTGTGCCGTAATAAAACACCAGCTGCACCTTATCTGGAATACCCTGAAGGTTCGTGATGCAGCTTTGTGGCTGAAGCTGAGCACCTGGTCTTGGCTTGCTCTGGCCTCACCATATATGAGATTATCCGGGAACCAGGTGTAAGATACTCTGAGCTTCTTGAGAGAAGTGTGGGTCCGGGGTATCAGATACTCAGTAGCCACTAAATGCTTGGCTCTGGTGACTTTTACCGGGGCTGTTTTTGAGGTCACATCTGTTGCCTAGAAAACTTGGTTGGCTCTATAAAGTTCTGGAGATCTTTACAAGCTTTTATTAATGCCTCTCAGTTCATGTGGCCTGCAGCAGTTTTGCAATCGCAGCTGCCTGCAATCTGTTCTATTTAGGGCAGGCAGGGACAGAAACATGGAATGAAATGGTAAGTTCTCTTGGTATAGATGCTCTACTTTGGTTAAACTAGCATGAATTTTCTGCAGAATGTCTTGGAGCACAAATCTATCCCAAGTTTAACCACCTTTAAGCAAGTTAAAGGCTTATGATTCTAAGATAACTGCTGTTATAATAAGCTGAGTTGTCTGAGGCACTGTGTAATCAAAATGCAATGAATTTCAAACTTTTTCCGGTTCTGATACAATGTGATCCACAATTACCCTTACTCAGCTAAATAGTTGAAATGCCAAAACAACCTGCTTCAGACAAAGCTTAAAGGGAAATAATGCAAAGGAAGCAGGATATTTTTTTTTTTAAAAAAATCGGTTTTCTAAGAACGGCTGGGTTCTTTGTTTTGCTGCACAAGGATTGAAAGCCAACTTGTTTGAAAAGTCTTGCTGCACAGCTGGTTGACCACTCCTGTGTGGAATGCTCAAGAGAACACAGGTAACACAATCTTCATCACTGTGCTAAACTATGGGATGGAAAGCTGAGGACCAAGCCCCACGTTAGTTTTGAAGTGATATATGCCTCTTACAGAGCTTCTCACTTTAGCTGTATAGTAGATGCACAATGGGTAGGAGGTTTATCTAGAATTCTGCCCTTTTCATGCATGGGTTCTCTGTTTCACAGATCTGGAAAGTGAGTCTCAGGCTTGTGCTAAAGCAAGTGCATTCTACAGGTTCAGCTTCACCAGAAATGGTTTAAAGAGATCACTGTGACTGAGGATTTGCTGTGAGGTAGCTCATTCATTTGGATTTATTCCATCACAGAACTGCTTAAGCCGAAGCTCCTCTTTCTTCATTGTGATTTCCAGGAAGTATGAAATAAATGTCCTTGTGCAGAATATTAACTTGCCCAGCATGCAGCATCACATCTGCACATTTCTCCTGTGAAGGACGTTTTGTGTCAAGCAAACATTCATGCCACCTGCCTGACCTATTAAGATGCAGGACTGGACTATAAATAGGTAACTCATTGTAGCTATGGGCAGGTCTGTCAAAAGTTGGCTTTTTAAATAGTAAGTTAACCTGGGAGATCTTAGTGCATAGTTTGTGATCAGTCACCAAAACAGTTCTTAGTAGAATTATTCACTGTACTGGTGTAGTAAGAGAAGATGCATGTGTGCGAGCGCGCAAAAGTGATGATAAATGTTTGGCTGCAGAAGCTATTACTTTAAAACTGCCCCTTCTATTTTCAGGCATTATATAGTGTCTTCCTGGGGCCAAAATATACATAATGGTTGCCATGTGTATTTTTTTTCCTGCTGCGCTGCCTCATGAATCAGCTGATGTGCATGTCTTTTGGTGCTGCGCTGCTGCACAAATCAGCTGATCTGCAGAGTAGTTCATGCTTTTCAAAAAGTATAAAGTGTTGCTGAATATATGTGCGCAACTATACACTTTGTTTTGGCACTCACAACCCAGGTGCCTTGTGGCAAATAGCTTTTCTATCACAGTTTCTAACACTGCCCTGGCTGCCTTAAAATTAAGGGAGGTTTCCAACATTTAACGTAGCAACTTATAAAAACATTGACCCAAAGTGCCATTGTGAAACAAATTTTCAGAAAAGGCAGCTAAATATTCCAGGACATTAGGAGATTTCTAAAAACGTTTTCAGAAATATATGCATAGAAATTGCCTGATATGTTAAAGGAACAAAGTACTTTATAGATGCGCCCTAGGCTTTGCTGTGTTCCAGCTCATTTCCCCATGTAGCTACCCCTAAATGACAAAAAATGCAGCATTGTTCTGAAAGAACAAAACATTATGAACAACTTGTGTTCCTCTGCTGCATGACCTGAGAGTCAAAAGCACATTTAGAAAACTTCAGCCTGAGCACTTGTGATGGAGGTTAAGAGACTTCTGCAAGGTTCTGCTGGAATAAATCAGCTTGATGGCAGAAAGGCTTTGTGTAGGACTGAGATCTGCCAGACTGCGCATCACATCTGTTTCCTGGAACTCTGCCAGGAGCCTGGGAGGGAACTGTGTTCTGAATGCTTCTTTATTAGGATGTACTGGGTACGAGTTTTGACCTCTTGTTTCAGGCATGTCATAGGAGGAATGGGAGCAACAACTTTCGGTAGTAGTTCAGAATTAACTAGCAATACAGACGCAGAATATTTGTGTGTGTGTGTGTGTGTGTGTATGTGTAAAAGCAGATGAACTTTGCTTTTCCGGATATAGTTCCGGGTAGCTACTGGAAGCGTCACTTCCAAATCAAAGCCCAAAGTAGCAATGGACTTCCTGCGTCTCAACATTTGAGTCCATGAGTGTCGCTCTGTGCTAGAACACTACTTTATTCTGAAATGATTTTTGCAGCCCACATTTTGTTGGGTAGGTGCAGAAATTCATCGTTCCCGGCCAGGGTGGATTTGATTTAAATCACGATTTAAATCACTAGTCAGTATGACTTGGTTTAAATCATCTTTTTATCAAAAGACTCATTCTTGCTGCTATAATCTTAATATTTACAACCAGAT